GTTCAAAATGTAACCAAAGCTTACCCGGACGATCGATAATCATGTCTGTGGCCTTATACTAACTAAGAAGTTAGTAATCGTTAACATTTGTATTTAAGCACAGAATTCACAGATGGTCAACCTGATCACCAAACGCATGACGACCAATGATAATGGGCTTGGTCCATCCAGGAACAATTCGCGGGACATTATTTAATAGAATGGGTTCGCTAAAGTTAAGTTTTTGGAATGAAAAAAATTTTCTAATTCAGCGTGTGACCACCACCAAACAATTAAACATAATGAACTGACCGAAAAATCACTCCATTTAGAATGTTTCGAATGGTACCATTGGGTGATTTCCACATTTTCTTAAGATTGAATTCTAGGAAATATAAAGATCATTTTGGTGTTTCTATTTTTAAAAGCAAGTTTACCGGAATTACCTTCGACCCTTCGTTCGTCCGGAGTGATCGTCGCACATTTTATACCAACATTGTATTTCTTAATAGCCTCTGCTGCATCCACGGTCACTTGGTCATTCGTCTGGACCGGTTATTCGGAAATTAATTAACCCAACTTTTGAAAAAAAAAAAAAGTTAAATTAAATAAAAAGACTTACGGCATCACGATTCTCCATTCCCAAGTCATAGTATTTAATGTCAAGTTTGACGTAGGGAAGAATCAACTATTCAAGGCAACTATTTAAGCTTTCCATTCAACAATTATAGTAAATGGAAAGAATCAGAACTTACTTTTTCCTTGATCTTTGCCCAGATAATGCGAGTCATTTCGTCTCCATCCAAATCAACTACAGGGTTATGAACAACGACGCGCGCATCCCCGGCTCTTTGGGAGTCTAAACAACAGTTAAAAACACAAGGAAGGGTTTAGCAGAAAAGAAAAGAAAGTTGTTTTTCGCTTTCGTCAACCCGGACGTGTTGGTGGTGGGAAATCGTTGGCAAAAGAGAACCACCAATTCAGATAACGTACAATACCGTCGTTTTAGGCTTTTCGAACCCGCATTCGCAACTCGGGAGGAAGCGATAATTGGAAATAGGCGAAGAATTTTTGACATCAAATCCAAAAAAAAAAAATAAAAAAATGGTAAAATAGCTGATTAGATTAGGGTGGTCGCATATTGCTTATAAAAGTATGTCGGGTGCATATCGATTATTCGTTTTACACGACACGTAATTTCTGATTATCAGGATCTTTGCTTTGAGATTTTTACGTAAATCGTGTAGGGGAACACGAGAATATCGAAAATCGCGTTACTCACCCTTGCGAAACAATTAACATGCATTTTGATTCGAGCATCTATATATAGATGCTATTGTTGATCTTTACAAGCGAAAGATAGAATATCATTTGTACTGAGTGAACCATTATACTAAACTGATTTTAAAAATTAAAAAAAAGTTGATCGGCGCATAATCGTCACATATATATATATCTATCTTTCACAATACAAATAACTCATAAAATTTCGAATTTTTAAGATGGCTGATCAAGTATGCGATTTAAAAATTTCTGTAGATTGTTGTTTGTCTGAGAGAATTATTTTTAATCGATCGACTTAAAGGAAACAATCGACCAAGAGGGTGAAGAGTTTATCGAGCAGGGTGAAATATTTGAGGAACAAATTCTGGATAACGATGTAATTCCCATGGAAGATGCTGATGCCGATGAAGAAAATTCCGAGGATAGAACCAATGATGTTGTGATTGACTTGATAGATGATTCCGTACAGGGATTCTTTTCCCATCAAGGTGAATAGGTCTGTTTTCGTGGGAAACGAAACTTTCTACACACATGAAATTTACAAATATATATACATATATTATTTATTTATTTATTTTAGATTCCGTGTACGCTGTCGACCTTCATCCAATTAATCAAGATATAGTGGTTTCTGGTGGCGGTGATGACAAAAGCTTTTTGTGGCGATCAGATACTGGAGAACAATTATATGAACTCTCAGGTTTTTCGATTTTTTTCAAATTAATAATCAATGTGTCTCCGACACCAAACTCACGTATTTGTAAATATGAGATATGTAGGTCATACGGATACGGTTACATCTGTCATGTTTAGCAGGGATGGCGAATTTGTGGCTAGTGGCGGTATGGATGGTAAGGTATTTGTGTGGAAAGTGGATAGTGGAGAATTGGTCGCATCGTTAGAAGGTCCCGACGAGATTGTGGTGGGTATATGTGATGAGTGAATCCGAATGACGAATGAACCTCGTTTATCTGTCTATCCATTTACACGTTTTCAGTGGATTGATTGGCACCCTAAGGGCCCTATTCTTTTGGCGGGCGCAAACGATGCGTCGATATGGATGTGGCAACGTACGTCTATTTATACCAATACCAATGTAAAACATTCGCACGAGATGTATCTCATGTACTCCTTATTCCCTTTTTCGAGAATAGTTCCGTCTGGTAATTGCATGACCGTTTTCTCGGGACATTCGCAAGCTGCTACTGTGGGAAAGTTCACACCCGACGGCAAAAAGATTGTTTCGGGATCAGAGGACTCTTCCTTAATATTATGGGACCCAAAGACTGCTTCTGCGATATTAAAAATTACCGGTATATCTTAACATGAACAAAATTTCTCTGATACAATAATGTATTATTTACTTATTTAATACAAACGATCACCAGGTGATGATTCACGATTTCATCAGGTGGGCATTACCTCCCTTGCGATCAATAAGGAAAGTACTTTGGTTCTCACAGGATCTCTGGATAGTTCCTCGAGATTAGTTAATCTGAACAACGGAACGGTAACAAAACTTCCAGCGAATATTACCTGACCATTGTTATTGATATTAATGGCATTATCACACTGTGATTCTGAATAGATTCTTGGATCTTTCGGAGACCATACTGATTCGATTGAGGCAACAGGATTCTGTGACGTGTAAGAATTAGTTAACTATGGTTTTCACATTCAGATGAATCCCTATTAAATGTGAACATTTGATTTTTCTCGACCAGATAGTCTTCCACTGGTAGCGACAGGGTCGGTTGATGGAAAATTAAATATTTGGGATGTGAACACTATGCGACTGCGTCAAACATGCAGGCATGATGTATGTCAAGAGATCTGACTTTAGCACACGGATGTAACTCAATTTATATAACTCTTAACTTAAAACACTTTACTCTTTGATATAAAGGATGCTGTAGTCAAGCTTAAGTGGCATCTTGATTCCCCACTATTGACCACGTGTTCTGCTGATAAAACGGTGCGCGTATGGGACGCGAGAACTGGGAACAGGGAACGAATCTGGCACGGGCACCAAGATTCCATCTTAGACTTTGCAATTTCAAGGTAGGCGCTTCTTCTGTTCTCCCTATCATTCCGTTCTAAAAAATAAGATCATATTAATTAATTTTCATATAACTAACAGGGATGGTCGAAAGGTCATAACAGCGAGTGACGATCACGTTTGTCTTGTATTTAGCGCATGAGCTTTCTTGAGTTGTGCTTTTTAAATCAGTCATCAGTTTTTTAGATAAATCATTTCCATGTACAAATTTAGTAATTTGTATTAATTAAGTTCAAACATTGCAATGAATAGTTTTTTTGTAACAAAATATAAATTTATTTAATAATATATTGATTTTTATATCGATAACATTAATTTGATGAAATTTATTCAATTTTTATGTAAGAACGTCACGTCTAATATGTACAAATTTAAGTACAAAAAAGGCACCAAGAAATATTACAAATGCATCTTTTTTTTTTTTTAAAGAAAAAAAAAAAATTAAAGGAAATGCGAACCGGAACTGAATAGCAAAACGAACCAAATAAGATATCTGTTAATATTTGTTCTTTTCAAAAGAACAACATAATAGGAACGAACACTGAAGGAAATTTTTTTGTAAGACACAGGAATGATATATACAGATTGCAAAAGTGAATTCGATCGCATAAAATTTTGTAAATATCTGACGAGCCAAGAAATCAAAGAATTGGAAACTTTCAAAAAGACGGACACTGATAATGTAGCAAAGTAGAAATCATAGCAATGAGGGGATAATATATGGATAACAAACAAAAGTAGAAAGAAAATATAAAAAATAAAGAACAATCATTATGAAATTGCATCAGGATGGAACGCGGTGTACCAATCCACATATCAAGATGGTTCATGAGATTAGTAACGATTGTTAAAACCACCGCGACCTCCTCGACCTCGACCGCCACCGCCGTAACCACCACCGTTGCCCCCACGGTATCCACCACCACCACCAGAACGGGAAGGAGGTGCGGACCGTTCAGAAGCACGATCAACTAATGAATAAACAATTATTTATGCATTAATAAATGGCGATAAAATTAATTAAACTTGTTGAAATATGCAACTTACCTTTAATGGTGCGGCCATCAAGCTCATTATCGTTCAGGCCTTGAATAGCCGCCTCGGCTTCTTCATTGCTATACAATGGATGGCGCGCAAAACGATTAGCATATTTGCAACAACTTCTGAATAATAATATCAGTTAATGTAAATTGCTTACGATGAATATGTTACGAAACCAAAACCACGACTTCGGCCTTCATCACAAGATTTCCGAAAGAGTTGAAAAATACGAACATAATTATAGAGTAGAAGGGATGATAAAGGGGGGTTGGATGGAACAACAGAATTATTGGGACGCACATTTAAATACACACACAATAGTAATAGCCTGGGGAGCGAACTCAACACACACAAACACGTGAGGGTGGGAAAGAAGACAACAGAAAGGTTAGCATCCTTATATTCGCAGAGATGGTTTGAACAAGTCTCGCGAAGGTGACAAGGTTGCTCACAAAAGAAAAAAAGAAAAACAAAAAACAAAAAAAAACGACGAATATGGAGCGACGAGTTTCTCTTCATTGCATAACATTTGACTTACCGGTATCACGGTCACGAATAACGACAGCGTCTTCAACGTTGCCGAATTCTTCAAACTTACTCTTAAGAGTACGGTCGTCGGTACCCCAAGACAGACCACCAACAAATAATTTTACGGCCATAACTACTGGAACTTATTGGAACTGGAACTGGAACAAGGAAATAAACGAGCAAAAGAACCGTTGCTAGGTTTCGTGGTTTCGTGTGGTTTCGTTGAAAGTGTGTATGAAAAGAAAAAAAAAAAAAAATCCCAAATCATGGTTTTTTTATCTGAAATAATGGGGATGGTCCCTTTTTTCCTTTGAACCAATTACCAATTAAGTATGTAATCAAGCGGTTCTTACTTTGCATCAGAGATGGTCACACATACAGAAAAGAATATATAACATTGTACTAATTTTATTTTTAGCCCCCAACAAATGTAGCATAGTAACACACGTGTATATACGGACGTAATGTAATTAACTATACAATAGGCTACATACATATTTCTTCAGCCACAAGAATCGCAAAAAAAAAAAAAAAAAAAAATTATCAAACATGCATGCATATCTCATATCTTTTTAGAATGACAAAAAAGGATAAATTATGGTTTCTTTTTTTTTTTTTTTTTTATCAACATCACGTGATAACGTGCATATACTGGTTAAATTATATGCTTACATCGTCTTCGCCCTTGGTGAAGTTTTCGGACTTTGGCATCTCAATGAAAATAAATTTCTTTTTCAAGTATAGTGCCGACGTAACGACTTTATCCGGACCAATGGGATTGCCGTGTTGGTCATAGTGAATGTAACTGAACGATCGGAGTCAAAGAAAATAATGTTTTTTTGTCATATGCACATACAAAAATTTTAGTAAGGATACGGTAAACGCAGAACGATCAGGCTATTCCTTGGTAAGGAAATTCCTTGATCGTCATTATTTTGGAAGTTATACATCGGTGACACAATGGCCTCTTCGTCCTTGCAGTTCTGTTTCAAGCAATGTGAGTAATTTATATTAATTACGTATGGCCAACTTTTATAGGAGATAGAAAAAATCAAGGGGAGAACGGAACCTTGATTACGGGATTTAGGATCATCGACACCGATGAATCAGGAGTCACAATTACGATACGTTGTAGTTGAGCGAACGTGGGCGAATTATTGGTTGAACTGTTGCACGGGCAAAGAATGTAAATGGGTAAATCTTGTTCCAAGAGAGTGTGCGCGGTTTCCTAGAATGAGATAAAAGAGGAGAAAACTCAACGGAAAGTCTCACATAAACAAAACTTGATCAATACCTTTATGTGTCCCGCGTGTCCTAACTTGCAAACATGACCTTGTCCGCAACTCATGAATCTGTGACCGATGGGACATTCGTACTCGATGCCGAGATAACCTCTTAACATTTGGTAATCAGCTTTCGAAGGAAAATTCGGACTAGTGTCTTTTGACGCGCTCACGGATTTTTCGCGTTCTCTCTTTGAATTAATCCTAACACCACGCTTACTTCTTTTCTCTTTACTTGCATCTCCACCCTTAAGGCCCTTGGCATCCGAGGTGGTAGTAGAAGAATCATCCATTTGCACTGAGTTTTGCTGGGCGTCGTTTTGAACAGCTACAAACAGTAAGTGATTTTTACAAAGTTATACTTCCGGAAAAATATGTCCATAAATAGTTGGAAACATTCTTACAGTCATTTCCCAACGGTGGCCAAGATGTGCCAGCATCACTCTTTTGTTCATCGCCACTTTTTCCTTTTTGTTTAGATCCTTTAACACGTGATTTCTTTATCTTGTTATCACTACCCACCATGTCTGCGGTCCATCCATTTAAATCATTTGTACCTATCACTTCATCCTGAACTTTTTTTGCTATAAACGAAACGTCCATTGGCAATAAAAAGTTTGTGTTTGTGGCGAAACCATCCACTTTATCAAGACCAAAGTTAGAGCGATAAATTGATCCCGAACCAAGTCGTATAAGTGACCACATTGAAGGAGACGTGGAATTCTTAAGAGGAGAGATAATATATTGATTCCCGTCCGCATTACAACAATTGGGAAACTGAAAAAAAGTTACGTTGGCGTCCTGACGGTGGAAAAAAAATCGTTAATGTAATCATGTTCATCGTATTGTAAAAGACGAAACGATGATATTTACAATTAAGTCAAAGGGATCATCTCTCTCCTTACGACTTCTTCCACAGTTGCATGCATGGAGAGATCGAAATGAACTTCGATGTTTTGCGGTCTTTTTGACTCCTCCATATTTTCCACCGCTATCGATATTTTCGGAGTCGTGATTTAACTGAAACCCAAATTCTCGACTAAATAAATCACATAATTTTTGTGCAAATCACTTAAAGCAGAAAAGGATAAGCTCACCCCTAAGACACATTCATGACCTGACAAACTTCGCTTCTCACATTTCTGTCTTCCGCGTTCCCAAATGTTCCGACATTCTTCCTTCAGTTTTTCCGCATAACTTTGTATGCAAGGCCCCCGAGCAGATGGCATGTAAAACCGCAAGGCACGTTCTAACTGATAAAAAAGATGATAATAATGTTAGAACAGACCGAATCAAAGATAAATAAAAGCAGGGTTATTAACCTTAATTTCATGATATTGCTTGTTATAATATGTGGGAGATTCGGATAAATATATGTCGATGGCTTTCCTTAAAACCTGAGCACAATGACTGAATTAGAAAAAAAAAAAAGTCATTATATCATGCACGTTACGTGCGAAATATTTAGAAAAAAAACACTAACATTATTATGTCTATCACCTTGCTGAAAATCTGTTGTTGATCTGCACACAATCCTTCAACCTTCTGTTGAGTGTGTCATCCACGGTGCTAAAACTTTTTCTCTCTAGAATTTCCTTCCCAAGACTTCCAAACAACAATTCTTTTAAAGCCACCGAACCGGAAATCCATTGTTCAATATTAGGCAGCTGTCCGTGAGAATTGGGTTAATTAACATCGACAAAGCAATGGTGCGCACACAAATTCTGTGAAAATTTTAAATACCTCGCTGGAAGTAACTCCGCGTTTCGCAAAACTTCGAGGATAACCGTTGGCTGCCCACTTAACCCACCCCTGAATGAAGTCTTTCAACAGTTTTATCTCAAAACTCTCTGCGCCCCTTTGGTCCATTTTCCGTTTTCTCAATAGTGACTCGATATCTATCTTGTGTTCGTGTGAATTTCTTAAATTTGAAACAAATGTAAATGCCGGATCCGGTGATAACAAATTGCCTGTGGAACCGCGCGGAATAAGATGGACAAAGAATTGAGAGGAAGGAGGTGGAAGAGTAAAAAGCTGACGACTTAAGCATGAATTCAATGAGTATATATTCATGAACTTCAAATAAAAGAATAACTGAGTTTTTTGCCTACTTGTCGAATGGCGCATTAACATCGCTGGTTTGAACAAGGTGACATGTACGAAACAAGTAACGAATGCGCGCTTGCAAAGCCTCTTTAATTTTTTTGATGCTACCCGGAGCTACCTGTTCGTATTGTGGATGTAGATTGTGAGAAAAAGACTTTCATCTCAGAGATTTCTCAGATATCACCTTATCATGATTAGACTCCGACTTGTTTCCATCTGTCGCTGATGTGATAGTAGGCAATTGAACCTTCAAGAATAGTTGGCAAACAATTTAATAAATTATTGATTGTCAAGTCAACAGACGATAATTCTCACAATCACCTCGAGGAACAGAAAGAGAAGAAATGGAACGCATCTTCCAGGCGTAATCACCCCACCCTGCGCATTTCCCAGTCGCCCTCCATATCCACTGGTGGACGATGGCCCATAAGGTGTAGGTATGTCTAAGTGTTGCCAACATAAGTTCATAAAATTATTCGCATGTGGCATAATGTGTCGTTTGACAGAAGATATTGTTCTTAGTAATGAAACCAGATTTGCATCCAATTTTGATATTGGTTGCGCTAACTAAGATTAGAAATAAGGAGAAAAGAGAAAATTCAATGTGATGAAAGTGTATGACACATTCGGACGCAAAAATTTCACTTACATACCACTATCACATGAGATAATAAGAATACGAATAGAACCATTCGCAAGTATGCGTGTTCCTGCTTCCATATCCAACTTTGAAAATCTTGCTTTGTTATTTAAAAATATGTATATGTGGATATATATATATATATATGCATATGCCTTGAATCTGCTGATCAAGCGCGTAAGATCTAATGTGCACTTATAGCAGAAACGCGGAAACAAACCTCATTTTCGGTGGTTAATTGGACATCTTCCCATAGATTTAAAAGCGCGTCACTCTCATTGATTGAATCCAAAAGCATATAAATGGTATTCTTTGTCGGATCACAGTAAATCCACACACCACGCTGATGGAATGACGAATGATTCATTTAAAAACTTTCTTGGTATAGAAATTGTCGCCTCAATGAATAACTTACATTATTCCCATTGGCTATCAACAGAGTCGCTCTATTCGGTTGGCAATTGCAATCTTGATCGCAGCAGGTTGGCTGTCAAGACTGAAAGTAAATTCGATGAATGCACAAATTTCTTTTTCATATGCTCTTCATTAAAGCAAATACCTGACCGAACACTGTCTTCTCGATAATGGCATTTGCAATGGAACTCAGGTTGGAAGCTGCCTCGCCATTGGTCAGCCCGATGAAGGTGACAACGGAAACCGATCCCTTATTCTGAATTTTACATTTCTCGGATAATTCTGTTGATAAAATAAACACTTTGTGAGATCTTTTTTTCCTACACGTTGGTGTCCAGAACTCACCTTCAATTTTTTTTTTCAAGATATTCTTCGGTAACTCCTCCTTGTTAACATCACACATAGTGGACCAGTCCCCGTTCAAGGCATCGCTGTTGCCATCTTTAGCCAAATTCCGAGCGGACATCGAAATTCCTTTACTTTTGTAAAATATTAAGAGATATTAGTGCACGTTACAACGTATGTATGTACCACAAGGTACTCTATTTTTCCGAGAACAGCATTGCAATTTTAGATCGCAGGGGTAAATTTCTGCACGTGACATGTGCTGGGGTTCTTATAATTCGGAAATTTCACTCGAAATTATTGCTGCACAGGTACTGCACGAGGAACATTACCCCTGCGATCTAAAATTGACAAACTTAAAACTCCATCAAATTGGATCAGAAGTTAAACGAACATTGCACGAGAAAAGTTCCGCTGAATCGAACGGCAAAAATATTAAGGTAATGTCCGATTCCAAGGAAATACACCAAGAAATTCGGAAAGAAGGCTTCTTTGACGAAGAAAACAGTAACCTTTCGTCCACGGCAAATGGATCAGCAAATGCATATCCCAGTCTAAATAACAAAGACTTGAAAAATTTTATCCTGCTTGTCATCCTATGTAAGTTTTGTCGAGCGAATAGAAAAATGCAGAAATAGAAAGATCACATAAAAATTTCAAAAATGGTATTATGTTTATAGACTTGTTACAGGGAGTTCCGGTCGGTTTGGCGTTCGGCTCCGTCCCTTTTCTCCTCAAATCGAAATTGTCATATTCGCAAATTGGAATTTTTTCCCTGGCAACTTACCCATATTCCCTCAAATTACTGTGGTCTCCAATTGTCGATGCCACTTATTCGAAAAAATTGGGTCGCAGAAAAAGTTGGATAATACCAATTCAAATATTGACCGGCGTGGTGTTCATGTGGCTTGGAACTCACATCGATCAGATGTTCGATAAGGTAATTCTTTTCATGAATTGCACACGATAAAACACTGACTATCCATAGTAACATCGTGAACCACTATAGGAGAAGCCAGACGTCTATTCCCTTACACTGTTGTTTTTTACATTGGTACTTTTTTCCGCAACACAAGGTAATGATTAAAAATAGGGTTAATCGCATCATTCTGTACCTGCCATTATGTTAACCCGCCATTCTTTTCATTCTTGAAGATATAGCAGTTGACGGTAACAAGGATTGTATTCCTGCACGAGAATCTTCTTTATTATACTTAACAAATTTTCAATTTGTCTTGATCAGGATGGGCATTGACGTTATTATCCAAAAGCAGTCTGTCTTATGCGTCCACGGCACAAACCATTGGACTAAATACGGGATACTTTTTGTCTTTTACCGTCTTTCTTACGTTCAATTCGGCTGAGTTCAGGTTTATAAGACGAAAAATTTATTTACATTTGCTGAAAATATGATAGCGAATAACAACTTTTATCTTATTTTTCTTATTCAGCAATAAATATTTCAGAGGCGTTCCAAGCGAGAAAGGTATTTTGGAACTTGGCAACTATCTTTCTTTCTGGTCTCTAATTTACTTCGGAGTGACAGCATGGTTGTTATTCGTTAAAAGTGAGGTATATAATTTTCATTCAACAAGTATTTTTTATTATGCATGCGCAAATACTAACCGTTTATTTATTCCGGTCGTGAATTCAAGGATGCGCCGCAGATCGACGACTATATGGACATTAAAACTGTCTATCGAACAATATGGAACATTTTCAAGATGCCACGTAAGAATTTGTATCATTTGCATTACTTTACAGGGCATATTTGTCTACAACATACAAAAATTTTTAATAAGTTTAATGACTGTATCTTTTAGACATGCGCAAGTTCATTACGGTGCTTCTCTTATCAAAAATAGGTTTTATTGCCAACGAAGCTGTTACTGGACTTAAGCTCTTAGAAAAGGGTTTTAATAAAGAAGATTTGGCCTTGGCCGTACTAATCGATTTTCCTATTCAGATCCTCGTCGGTTATTATGCTGCAAAGTGGAGTAATGGAAGCCAACCGTTGAAACCTGTGCGTTTTTTTTTTTTTTGACAACCAACTTGACGGTCTGTTATAATGAGATTCGCTAAAGTTTTTTTCGAATTTTTATTCAGTGGATATATGCTTTCTATGGGCGTCTGTTTTTTTCCATTGTTGGTATGTTGGTTGTACACAGCTTTCCTGACGATAAGGAAATATCAAACGGTTTTTACTTCACCGTAATCGCGAGCACGGTGCTAAGTTCTTTTACGAGGTAAACTTCTATTTCAAATGGTATATTTTAAAAAAAAATAATATCCTATGCAGGATATTTTCTATTGTATTGATGGGATTTAATGCAGATATAGATAGTAATGATGGCTTTGTTACGAATCAGCACTGTTCAATTCGTTAGCCTTTCAGCGTTTATGTCCCTGATCGCCGATCCCATAATTGGTGGAACCTATATGACCGTATGTAAAATGAAAAATATTGTATGATAGTCATTGAGGTTACAAGCTAAAGTCAATTAACACGTTCTTATGATCCATAGCTCCTGGCAACCTTCAGTAATTTTGGTGGAACTTGGCCTCGTTTTTTCGTCCTTGAGGCGGTCGACTATTTCACCGAGGCTGTATGTTACGGCCAAAATGCCAGTAAGCTGAGTTTTCTTTTCTTTTTTTTTTTTTTAAAAAAAAAAAAAGGCTTTCCGATTTATTTATTTATTTTTAATTGTAGCCTTTTCCTGCGTCACCGAATATGACAAGTCCACGTGCAAAGATTTAGGTGGTACATGCGTGGTTAATCGGGATGGTTATTATATCACTTCCATTATATGTGTGACTACTGGAACCTTGTGTTTATTTGGATTTATCTTACCCCAAATTAAAAATCTACAAGGTAATGAGTTTTTTGGGTTTTTTTTTTGTGTTGTGCGATTCAAATTTTGTAAATACAAACATCTCTTCGATCTTAATTCATAGTATTACCCCCTAAAGCGTGGAAAATTAGGGTAGAATAACTTGGCATATGGTGATTCCATGATTATCTTATTAATCAAACGAAAAAATTCAAATATCTTAATTTAAATGGCATCTTTGTACCAGAGTTTGCTTAATCGATGTTAACCCTGTAATATTAAATACTTTAGAAGAGATATCGACCATTGAACAAAAAAGCTATTAGCGACAGTATAAAAAGAGTTAACGAAAAACTAATAGATGAATAATAGAAATTTATGAAATTTACAAGTTAGCATTTAGGCAAACCCATTATACTAACTAGCATTAATCAAGCTACTACGGTTTTTTATTAAGTAAACATGCTTAAATATAGCAATAAATAATCGATGTTTCCTTAATAATTTTTTGATTTTTTAATGACATTATTCTTCTATCCTAAACCTAACATCTTGAATTGATTATTTTACATATTCTTAAGCATGACATAGACGTGTTATTTGATATTTACAAATAATAATAAAATATACGGTAGCGATCGCAGACACGTGATTGCGGCGCGGCCTGGCGCGCCTCGGCCAGATGCAAAAGGAAAATGTCATTATAGAGCAGAATAAGATGTTGCAATTTACTTGATCAATTACAGGACTTGGCAGGTAAAAGTAGAAAATTTATTTCGATGTGAAACTTAATAACTTGATTCATATTATGAGTCTTATTTTTTAAAAAAAAATAATAATTTATGATTTTCCGAATATAAGAATCCAACATTATGACTCGAATTGCACGTCCGTACCGTTAAAGGTTTTCCCAATGATCTTTGTCATATTCGAAAATCTCATTGTTATACGATAGAAAGAGAAATAGATAAGTAGAAAGAAATCTGCTCCCCGGATTGACGGAAAATGAAGTAGAAATGGGAATTCCTCACTACTCTTCCTTAACATGGTATGCTTCTAATGACTTTTACCTTCCCTTTGGAATCTATTTACTAGATCTATGGGAAAATATTTGTTACCAGATTTAGAATGAATAGGTTTTATATAAATGTAACGAATAAATGTAACGAATAAGAAAGTATTATCAATTAATGAAAAATTGCTATATGCTTGTCACTGGAAAATCCAAGCTTCTCACGAACGTACCCCTGTCATCATTTATTTCTTTGCCCGTGCAATATTAACGTGTGTGAAGCCGGATCCATCTCGCCTCTTAATTTTTCGAGAAGAATTAAAAAATTAGAACCTTTTTTGATTTTTGAAACGAATACATGCATGCACACCATTTATATTACGCATTAACCCCATTAACCATATTTGTTCGCATGCATTATGCATTATTACAACACGCATGAATTAAGACGTATTTTATTTACCTTTTCGTTTTTTTCAACCCGCCATCAATGAACATTTTTGAGCAAGTTAAACTGTATTCGTAAAATCCGATAATGACATTTTAAAAAACAATCAAAAATCAACAACTGTAAACGACCCTTTTTTTTTTTTTTTTTTTAATAAAAATTAATAAGCAATGAAAATATTATTATTATTTTAATATTTTATATATTTTATTATATGTTTATTATCATTTAGTTTCTTATATGTAATATGTCTTGTATTAAATATTTTATAGTTTTATACATCCAGTATTAATCCTATATAACTCCCAGAAATCCATTTGTTTAATAAAACAATAGAATGAAATCCCCCTAGTGTCATGCGACAATCCAATTTTGTAAGCTATTTCGGCTGATCCGGCAGCTGCAGGATCCAATATGGCTTAGAAAAGATAATCTCCTTCGTATTATGCATTATAGTCACATTGCACACTAGTCTTATGAATCATTG